GTTCTTCAAGCCTTTCCTAGAGGCTTGGTGGAAGACCCTAACATTGGAGTTCAGTTCTTCCCCCTTTTCACTTTGGTATCTGCCTGTACATAAAGTGCCTATGTCCCATTGTTCTTTATCATGAAAAGTGGACCTTGCCCTCACAGATATACCCTATGGTTATTCATACATGCTAGGAGATTAAGTCATGTGATTCTGGCATCAAATATCAGTAAAATATCCTTGCTTACCTAAGCAGTTTTACATCAGTTTTATCTGTACTGAATAATGAATTTGACATTTTGATTTTTACTTTCATTGACTGAACTCATCTCTGAAGCCCAGAATAATATTTAGAGGTTGGAGATCCTTTGAGTCTTAATAAGTCATCAGATAATTTTATGTCTTGTTTGTATAACTTATTTTTTCATATGTGTGAATATTTCTAATCTTTATAGACATCCCTTTGTATAGGGATACAAATTACTTCTTGCCTGGGCATCCTGTATTACTTGAAGAAACAGTTGTGTCATTTAAACTAGAAGCCCTTCTGGGCTACCTTAGTTCTGTAGGCTTGAGTTCATTTTAGAAGGAAACTATTGAGTCATTGTCAACAGAATTAACTTAGCTTTAAACATATATTCCATGTTAATATGTGTTTGGAAAGATTTAATAAAAATAGGGGAAATGTTTACAAATTATTGATCCTCTCATTATAAACAAGGTAAAGTACCCAAATTCATTGTACTTTTTTCTAGCTATAAAGAGGATCCAGGCTCTGCTGCCTCTTGGATCTCAAGTATCTACTTCATGGAATGTGTGTATGATGCAGAAAAACAAAGCTACTTATTAGCAACCCTATGCTCACTCAAAGAGAAGATAATTAACTGATGAGACTTTTCCATTCTTCATTTTCTCCTGAAAAATAAATTCTGTATAATAAATCTATTAGATTTATAAGATGAAAGGCCAGAATGGTATAACTAAAAATGAAAGCTCTAATACTGCATTTCTAGATACGAGCTGAGACCAAAGGGGCCAGTCACATCACTAAGTGTGTGTGGGCAGGAGCAGTTATGAATTAGATGACACATGGCTCTTTTTCTCTGACATTTATTTTCTTATGTATTTTCATCAATATAGATTTGCTTTTCTTAACTGTCATTATTTATCCTGTAATGTATGCATTTTGAATACATTTCTCCTACAGCTAATTGTAAACATCTACCTCATGAAATATATGCTCATCCAAATAGCCTTGTTATTTTCTACTCAGAAGTCTGATCATTAGAATCTCATCTCCACTGAGATGTGCTTCCTGAGACAGTGTTCACTTGCAGTGTGTTTGTTAAAATTCAAGTTGAATAAATTACTGTAATATTTAGAGCACAGATAAGGAAAAGATTGAGATTTTTCAGAAATCCTACTTTCTGTGAAGAATGCTTTATATTTTTCCTGTTCTAAAATTCGGGTGTTATTATGGAAGCTTAAATGTCATCATAAAATACAGGTCAATGTTGCCTAGACAACAGTATACTTTCTGAGCAAACAAGATTTTTTAAAAGTCATACATTCAATGCTATCATTGAATTACAGCATGAACTGTTAGAGCAGCTTAGAGCAATTACTTTGGCTTATCCCGAATTAAGCATAGACTGCTCCAAGCTAAGTTAAATGATTAACCTCTTACTACAAAAGGAAAGGCCAATAACAATACATTTAAAGATGCATTCTAAAACTATTCAAGAAGTTGAATTGGCACAATGACTTAAGTTGCATATTTCTCAAAGCGAACTAGAGTATCACATGTCTGAATGTTAATTTCATAAGTCTTCATTTAAGTTTTGGTGGCAAGACCAGAGTTCCCCATTGTCATCTGCATTTCCAGTTCTATCCATGTGCAGAGAAACCCACTCCCAGAAAGCTTAGAAAGCAATTTCATTTATAGTGAAGTGGTATAAAATTTTCACTTCAAGTCTCTGTGGGGAAGCATGGGTTATTGAAGGTTTTCTGTTGAGAAACAATTACTCCATCCACTTACTGAATATTGTTTATTTTTATGTTGTGTGAAATGCCCTGTGGGCCTCTTAGAACTTACTGGAAGAACCAATTTAGAAAGAAAATATCCAATTAGCTTAAAATTTTATGATACACACAGAGTTTGCATTCTTTGAGAGTCAATATGTTTGTTTTGGAATCCTTATGTGATTCCTAGTACCTTAGGCCTTGCCTCTGAAATTGCTCCTCATTTCAAAGTGGTCATGAAGATAGGCTTGCTCAATTAAAGGTACTGAACATAACACACCATAGGGTTTCTTTGTTCTGTTTCATTCATTAATATTTTTTCATAGTGCTAGGGCTCAAACTCAGGCTGCAGCACATACAAGGCAAGCACAAAGGATTTTTGTTCTCACAGTGTACTCTATATAGATAGTAGAAATATGTAAATTCCTACAAAGAGAGGATAAATGAAACTAACCAGCTCAGCTTCTTGGTGACAAAATTAGAAGCTTTAAACAAAAGGTCAATGTATATCTGACCACTAAGAGATATTTTTGTTCTGTTAGAAGACTGATTTCCAAAGTGGTTAATTCCAGTTTCCTTGAGCTCCTTCTAACTCCACTCCAGGGCTCAGAGCAAGTGGGTTTGCCTCACCATTTAAATGCCTTCATGAGCTTCTGATATCCTTGACTAGATTCTTGCCTTCCCATATTAGAAACAGACAGCATATCTTCTTCTTCTTTTTTTTTTTTTTTTTTTTTTTTTTTTTTTTTTTTTTTTTTTTTTTTGGTCTTTTTGAGACAGGGTCTCCCTGTAGCCCAAGCTGTCCTGGAACTCACTGTGTAGACCAGGCTGGCCTTGAACTCACAGAGATCCCCCTGCCTCTACCTCCCAAGTGCTGGGATTAAAGGCATGCACCACCACACCTGGCTTATTTTCTTTCTGTAATAGCAAATATGGTTAAAATTTACTGAAGCAATGCTGTGGGTTAAATGCTATTCTGCTTGGGTGCTCTGTTCCCAAATTTTTATTGAAAGGATTAGCGTCCAAAGTAAATTGGGAGCAGTACCCTTGACTGCTTTCTTCCCTCTTTTGACACAAGTATCTATAGGAAGTGTACGAAGCTTCTCTCACCACGGTTGTACTGAAAATGTGCAACTTTATTTTGCCTGTCTCCCACAGCAATGAGAATAGTTACTTCTATCTCATTTAGATTGCATTAAGTATAATTATAATGATTACATAGGTTGTATGCCTTTTATATTAGAGACTTGATAATCGTGGGGGTTGTCCTAGAACCAATCCCTGGTAGATACCAATGAATGACTTTGCTTATTATATATGTATATATAATGAATATGTGTGTATGTATATAATATGTGCATATAATGTGTATAATAGTATTTAGAGATTGGGTTGAGATTTCCACCTGAGTTTAATGTCCTCAGCATCTTTCCTGTATGTTCTACTGAGAGGCCCTTGAAAGTAGGGGCATTTATTGACTATAGCTTGCTGACACAGGCTGCAGTTCTAACAGTTTATTCCCCATTTACATATATCTGACACATAGTTAAAGGTATGAGCCATAAATGACAAATGTCTTGTAAATGTGAAATACAGAGTATGGTAATGATTTTATTCATTCAGAGAAAGAGAACGTAATTATAAGTAAAAAGTTGGGCAATGAATATACAGAAGAGGAGCCACCTCATCTTAACCTTCTGCCCTAGTGCAAATGAACTCTATTAGAGATGCTTCACAAAGCAGTCTCCCTCTCATCTATTAACCTGCCTCTCTCCTTCAAAGCACTTCCCTTGACTTTGCACTTTTCATATTTATTTATTTTTTTATTTTTTATTGTCTGTACTTTTCACTAGTATAATATTCCTACAAAGGTCAACAGTTCTGAGTCTGAAGGGATGGCTCAGCAATTAAGAGCAATCACTGGCTTCTCTTGCAGAGGATCCAGGTTTAGAGGATAATAGCACACAGGGTAGTTAGCAATGTTCATAACTCCAGTTCCAGAGGATCATGCCCTCTTCTGGCCTCCACAGGCATTGTGTACAAGGGTGCAATTGCATACATGGAGGCAAAACACTTATGTACATAACATAAAAATAATAAATGAAATAGTAAAAAGATCAATAGTTCTTATCTCGTTCACATCATAGTCCTAGTCTGTCATGTATACGACATTCATTTCTATTTCTATTTTCTCAAATGTCATATGCTAAATATTTAAGGATGTAAGTGTAAGTTCAGACCCAAAAAGTCACATCAGATTTGGTCAGATTCTTTTTAATAGCTCACAGGTGATCAAACAAACTTTTCTCCAGATTTGATTTTATGTTTAGTCAAATGTGTTTAGTCAATAATCAAAAGCAAGTAGATTCCTTGTGTTTCATATGCTATTTGAAATTTAAGAGATATAGTGCTATATCTACTATTTGTTAAAGACTTATTTTTAATTATGCATAGTTATGTATCTATATGTGGGTGTGGGGATGCCCATTGCAACCAGAAGAGAGCATCAGATTCCCTGGAGTTAGAGTTGCAGGTGGCTGTGAACTGCCCAGTGTGGGTACTGGGATTAGAACTCAGTCTTCTGCAAGAGCAGTAAGAGCTCGTAACCACCAAGCCATCTCTCCATCACCTTGCGTGTACTTTTTGTTCTGTCTAAATTTATATAACTAACCCATTAGTAACTGATCACAATATATATTTGGGGAAAACATTTCAAACTTAAGTGATGATATATAATAATCCCTTGAAATAAAACAGAATAAAAATATCAAGCAATGTTCAAATTGATAGAGTATCATCTGTTTTTATTCAGCTTCTGTATGTGTATGTGTGCGTGTGTAAAAATGTCTTTAAATTTTCTTAAGTCACAAAGACTTAGGACTGATAATCATACTCTAAATTACTAACTTCAAACAGCACATTATGAAAAATAAATATAGTTAATTTGGGAAAACTGACTATAGCATATTTGTTGTTCTTATTTCTGTTTACTTTAGAATTTCTTTTTTAAATGATGGAGGACTTAAAATCATGAATGTGACTAAAGCTGATGGGGGAATCTACACCTGCACAGCAGAAAACCAGTTTGGGAAAGCAAATGGTACAACACACTTGGTTGTTACAGGTGCGTGTTTTTCTTAAAGATTGCTTTACCTATGGATACACTGTTATTTTATAGGAAAATATAAACACCCATACACATACTGACAGTACTAGTATGGACTCAGTGGTTTTAACCATGTGCATGAAGTTAGAAGGGGAGAATGATGACAGGAGATGGAGGAATGTGATGGGAGGGAGTTGGGAGTGGATTGAGTCAAAACACATTATGTTCATGTATGAAAATCTCTAAAAATAAAATTTAAAAGTAAATACATTAAAAGAAATTGACCATGTGTTTCTTATACTGTGCAGTGTACAGTGAAGGCAGAATCTACATTTACTCAAATGCAAGAGCATGATTCTTATAATTTATTTAGCACAGCACAAGGCACATGAGAGGACATATTAGCTACTCTGCTGGCATCCTGGGCCATAAGAAACACAAGTGCAGTATACCCTGGATGTCTCTATTCTGTACTGTTATGTAAGAGCTTTGGGTAGGTGGTCTATTTTTCACTGTAATTGGCCTTTTCTGGAGAACTTCAAGCTCCTTAAATAATCCTTGATATTACTAAGATTTACTTAAGGTTGATGATATGTTTTATACTTTTATCCTTTCAATAAAAGTGTGGACAACCTGTTGCATTGACTGGTGGTTGGACTGTGTCAGTAAGAGCATTGACAAAGCACTGCCCTGTGCATCTTACATTCTATCTCAGGAAGAAGGAACTAAAGATTAGCAGTAACAAAAAGAATATGACTAGAAGGAAAAACTGCAAGCAGGAAGAGGAGAAAATTGCATCCCTAGCACTGCAAGAGGAAGAGAGTGGTGGGGAGGGAGGAAAGGAAGAGAGGGAGGGAGAGAGACAGGGAGTGAGGATGGAGGGAGGGAAGGAAGGAAGGAAGGAAGGAAGGAAGGAAGGAAGGAAGGAAGGAAGGAAGGAAGGAAACGTCAAGGTGTTTCATAAGCAACAAAATAAATAACGGTCAAAATAATTGCATTGCTATGCACTAGTAGGACAGCTTTGGAAATAGGGAGGGGGATGAAATTTGTCTGGACATGTTGAATTTGAGATGTTCATTAGGCTTTCTCTGTGAAGCAAATCACAGGTTTGTGAAAACTTTGGTGGATTTAAATAGAACAGGTTGAGTGTTTGCTCACGCTGTAAGTCAGCTCTGCTCTTTTCATTCTGAAAGACTTCCAGTGGCTCCACCACAATGGGCAGGGGAAGAAGACATTTCATGTGTGTCTTCCACACTTCAGTCTATCAGCCCTGTATTTGGGGCCTGCTTACATTTGATCAGCCAAAGCATTTGACCAGAAGTGAACAAGCTCTTCAGAATTTCATCCTATTATGTGCCCTAAAGGAAATCATGGTGAAAGGCACCTACACGGAGAGGCTGCGTAGGTCACTGAATATTTTTAATTTGGATTTGAGGGAGAAAGATCAAGGAAAAGACTCATTTTTAGAAGTTTTTGATAAGAAGATGGGTTTGTGAAGGCAAGAAATCACCAGGAAAGTAAAAACGATTTCAAAAGCTCAGACAAAATTCCATTAATTTGTGCAATTAATATCTGTTTACAGTTTTTAATTTTTAAAAGTGAACTAGCTTGATACATTTTATATTAAGAAATTTAGGAACCAAAGAGGTCTCATAAAGAGAGACAGTAAAGGGCTAACCGGCATAATGGAAGGAAACTAGGAAAATATGGCACCAAAGACACCAAGAAAACCAGGGCAAGATAGTTGTGAGATCAAACCAGAGAATACCAAAGGGTGCTCAGTGGATTTCACAGTAGAGTAGTTACTGGGTATCCTGATGTGACCTGGTCCAGTCGGGGACCAATGCCTGACTGGACTGGTTTCAAGAAGTAATGTCATAAGGGATTTGCACTTCAAATATACAAATGATTCTTTTGATGAACCTTGTTGTCCTAGGTTTAAAAGTTCTGAGAAACACTGGGAAATTGTGGTAATGGGAAGTTTAATTCATGATAAATGGAATCTATCTAATGGTGATGGGAAATGTGCCATGTGTGCTTTGCATCGAAGATCGGCATGAACCAATGTTTCAATGTTGTATTCCTCTTGCTGTGCCTATTCAAAGCAGGGCATGCATGGCTTTCACATCTATGCAAACAAGAAAGCTTAAATTCACTTAAATTTTGATGGCTAGCATTTGCGACTCACTGAAGGTGGTGAATATGGTGTCTATTTCTACCCTACATTTCATAGAACAATAAAACTAAGGTAAAAATAAATTTTGCCATTAGGATAACTCTTGTGTGCTGGTGAGTTTCATTTCTAAACTTAGATCTTCTACAAACTTAGCTATCCTAATTTAGCTTCTGTAGGCTGGAGAGGCTAGTGATTAAGAGTACTTGCTGCTTGTCAGAGGATCAGAGTTAGGTTCCCAGACATCAACCGCTTGTAACTCTGGCTCCATTGTATCTGATGCCCTCTTCTAGCCTCTGAAGACACCCATATGCTTGTACCATCCACACAGACTGACATAGACATGTAAAAATCACATTTTTTAAAAAAGAAGTTGTGAAACCAGCAAAATGTATTATAACTCTACATCAAAATTTTACTTTAATCTTGAAGACTTCTATTCACATAGGTGTATGTGTGCAGCTATTTATTTACAAACACATGCACTCTAACTCAGATGAATAGTCTACCTGTACAGATTGCTTTGAGGGGCTGGAGAGATGGCTTAGCAGTTAAGAGCACTGATTGCTCTTGCAGAGGACTGGGGTTTGATTCCTAGCATCCACATGGCAGCTAACAACATCTATAAGTCCGTAGGCTGGAGAGGCTAGTGATTAAGAGTACTTGCTGCTTGTCAGAGGATCAGAGTTAGGTTCCCAGACATCAACCGCTTGTAACTCTGGCTCCATTGTATCTGATGCCCTCTTCTAGCCTCTGAAGACACCCATATGCTTGTACCATCCACACAGACTGACATAGACATGTAAAAATCACATTTTTTTAAAAAGAAGTTGTGAAACCAGCAAAATGTATTATAACTCTACATCAAAATTTTACTTTAATCTTGAAGACTTCTATTCACATAGGTGTATGTGTGCAGCTATTTATTTACAAACACATGCACTCTAACTCAGATGAATAGTCTACCTGTACAGATTGCTTTGAGGGGCTGGAGAGATGGCTTAGCAGTTAAGAGCACTGATTGCTCTTGCAGAGGACTCAGATTTGAATCCAGAACCCACCTAGAGACTAACAACTGTCCATAACTCCAGTTCTAGGAAATCCAAAGCCCCCTTCTGACCTCCAGAGACATTACATGGCACATGACATGGGCAATATACTCATACACATAAAAAAATAAAAATAATAAATAAAAGATTGCTTTCATCACCATAAAAATGTTGTTTATTCATAAATTATTTCCCCAATAGAACCAACAAGAATAATTTTGGCACCGTCTAACATGGATGTCTCGGTTGGTGAAAGCGTCATTTTGCCCTGCCAGGTGCAACATGACCCCCTATTAGACATTATGTTTACCTGGTATTTCAATGGAGCCCTTACGGATTTTAAGAAAGATGGATCTCACTTTGAGAAAGTTGGTGGGGTAAGTTATGTTACTTTTCTCATCTATTACATGTATCTATGACATGTTGACTCTCAAAAACATCTGGTACATAGATAGCACAGAGAAATGCTTGTTAAATTAATGGATATAATTTCTTAATTCTATTTTGATCTGGTCTTATTCTTTGTTAATCACTAGAAATTGAGAACTTTAGCCTGTAAGTATAATTAAAATTGGTTCATGCTACATTTATATTAAATATTATTCTTTGTGACATTTTTGTTGTTAGTATCCTATGCAAGCATTTTATTTTCAAATGACAGAAATGTGAGGTGGCTTAGGTTTACTAAAACACTTCATCCAGATGTTTCATTCCATTAAATGTGTCAAGGTAGCTTCTTGATCACAAGTAATCTTTACAATTTCATTGGACATTACCTATAAGACTCTTCAGTTTACAGGTATACAAACTGAAGATTTGAAAAGTGTAATAATTTGATCAGTCACTTGAGAGTTGGGAATGGAGCTTCAGGCCCCTATCTGAATGTCCGTACAATGCAAATGCTCCCCAATGGTGTCTTCCATTCCATGTGTCTCCTCGCATGCATTGGTTCCATGGTAGAAAAGGGTCATTCTATTTGGAAATGCCATGTATGAGTCTTGTCCACAAAGACTAACCATGTAGGCATCAACAAAGCAGAAAACCACATTATGGCTAACTTAGCTATATTCATTTGCCAAAATTTCTTGTTAAATATGTGCATATGCATGAAGAGCTTTATTAATGTTTTATGATCATATGCAACTTCACATGATACTATTTGTGGATGAGTTATATATCCTCCAAAAGATATGTTCAGACTGCAACCTTAATTGGAAGTAGAACTGTTACAGAAATACTTAGTAAATTAAAATGAGGTCATCATGGAACAGGTTGGGTTTCATCTAATATAACTGATATCCTTATAAAAACAAAGTAGTTTGACAGGGACACAGGCACACAATGAAGCAAAGAACCCAGGTTGTCAGGGGAGCCAGTGCCATGTGATAGTGGAGGCAGAAGTTGGAGTGATTACTACACAGGCAAGCCATGCCTGCAACCCCAGGAGCTGGAAGAGATAAGGAGGCAGTGACCCCTAAGGATCCTAAGGGGAGTATGTCCCTCTGGCATTGTGATTGGAGACTTTCAGCTTACAGAACTAGGAGAGAATGTCTATCTCTTGTTGTAAGCCACTGTTTATGGTACTGTGTTATGCCAACCCTAGGAAACTAATACAGATGAAAAGAAAAAATAATGTGATGTTAGGTATCTAGCCACAATTAAGAACAATTTCAGCAACATTTCTATTTTCTATTATCTTGCTTTTATTTAGTTTGAGAAGAACTTGTTTTCTAATTGCATCCTGTTTTTCAAAGCTTTGGAGAGTGTTGTCAATTGCTACAAACTTCCAGCATTCCTTTCATTATTCTTCAAATGCCCACTTCAAAATCACTAGTTTCTTCTACAACATCAGGAAAAACATGCCAACATTCTCAACCCAGCAGTCTTTTGCCTTCTGAGTCTCCTGTGAACTGCCTTTGTTGGGAGAAGTAGTCCAAAGAATAAAATACATCCAGGCTACTTTCATAATGACCCATTATCTTATCCAGTCTGGAAAAGACTTCTCTAACCAAGTTCCCCTGATTTTTTCTTCTTAATGGAAGAATTCAGTTTGAAACATTAGTTACTTCTGCCAGGAACTATAGGTAATTATGTTTCTAATTTATCAGCTGGATTGTAATCTGTTTGCAATTTTTATCTGACACAAGAACTTCTGTGTTAGTTAATGCTAAAAATGCACTGAGACACAGAAAATCCAAAGCATTTTGGTGGTAATATGCAGAAACGCTCAAAGGCTGAACTGGATAACTGCTTTGTGTAAGAGGAACTCAGAGTTAAGAACATTCCAGTTGATAATGTAATAGAACTCTCCTGATTTACATGGCATGGATGGGTAGTAAAGAAGACATAAAGTCATCTCTGGAAAGAGTCAAGTGTCTGAAACATGAAATTTCATAAATTAATGCTATCACTTGCCAATTTTGTTCCTTCCATAACGTGCTAGTTCATGGCCTATGAATTTTTTTATTGACTTGTGCCATTAGTAACTAAATATTCTCCCATCAGTATAAAACAGTTAGCCATACAAGATGACATTGCCCTTAAGCACAAGCAATTAAGTAAATCGGTTTTCTGTTGCATGAGAAGGAAATTATAGAGCAACCCTCATCCTCTGATTCTGTATTCATTGTAGCATACACATTAATACCTAGACAGTCTGCTTGATTTTTTTCCTGGTATATTCATAGATACATCTTCATTTTCCCAAAATAGCCAAATGTGGCAAAGAAACTGGTAAGTAAAAAGAGATATGTACGTAAGAGTGTATAGTGAGAGTTTCACTCTCACAGGAGACAGATAGTTTAAGTTATGGGAAATCCAACTCATAGCTTTGAATCAATTTAGCCCATTGCTTTTGTGACTACATTAGGTATCCTGTACTCCATCACTTATTTGAAAAAAATACTCTTGGGGAGGGGGGAAGAAATCATGAAGTCAACAGGCTTCTATCATTGAGACCACATCTATTATTGTAGACTTTAATACTAAGCCAAATGATTATAGAACACCAGTCACAAATTTCTGCAGTGTCAAAATGATACATTCAATAAGCCTTATTAAACCAAGTATGTGAAGCAAATTACAATGAGAGGAGATTAAAGTGGAAGAAGTGGAAGTCATATAATTGAATCAGCACTAAAGGGCTTCCATTTAGGTCCCACAAACCAAGCAAATCTGTATCAGCATGGTGAGATGTGAGCAGAGCACTGGAGAGTGGTTTTCAGTCGCACAAAAGTTCCGTGGTGCTTCCGTTTGCTCCATGAACCCACGGGTAAGTAGATCACTTAGCTTTCAGCACCTTATATTCATTTTATCACAGTCATATTTAACCAACTGAATTCTTCCCCATGCACTCAGTCAGACACAGGGGAGAAAAAGAGATCCTGTTATTTATCCCACTAGCATGTGTTTATTTTCTTGATTTTTTAATAGACTTCCACTGATGAGAAGAGATAGGTAAAAGCCCAAAGACCAAGCGACACAAGAAAACATTGTTGGTTGCTATCTGAAGACTCCCTGGAGTCTCAAGATATTTTTTGTTGTTTAATAAGTGAAAATTTGGACTTATATGATCAGAGGACACTGTAGATTGAAACATTTAAACCTAAACACATTAGGTATCCATTACATGCTATAAGATACTTAAAAATATATATGCTTTCATAAGCCTTATGTGGTGCAGTTACTTTGGAATGAAGGATGTCTAGAACCAAGCAGAACAGTTTTACAAACGTTTTGTGGAATTGGATCTGTGATGAATTAGGATGTATGTGGATAAAAGTCACTGGATGCCGTAAGAAGCAGAGCAGTGACAGCCAATCTGCCATTCATTTAACTGGCTCACTTCAGTGTGATTTATTTCCTGAAACCTGCAATCTCAGTGTGGTTGTAGCAGCTGTGTGTAAGCTTGATGCTGGATCTATTTTCCAGCTCTCAGTAGTAGAAAATATTAGATTTCAAAGTAATCCTTTGTGTGTGATATTATAGCATGGTCACTTGGGCTTACTTTATTTCATAGAGTTAATTGAGTGTGAAAACCCAAATTCTGAAAACAGCAGTTCTTTTTCAGTATAAAACTAAGTAAAAGAGAGTATGCGGATCTTAAATAAAGATCTAGGGCAAAACTATGATTCCACTAACTACTTAGTGTCACACTACCTTTTAAAACATATGTCCCTTGGACTCATAAATTTGATGTGTTGCCCAAATTCAAAGCACCAGGTCACCAGGAAGGATCATTAAGGGGATGAACCCAGTAATAAGTCCACAGAGTAGGTCACACCTGAGAAATTGTTAATTTTGTCTGTGACCATTCCCTAGGGCATAATTCTGACCATATTGCTATGTGGGGGTAAAAAGTCAGGAGATCCCCAAAGCTAACTAGAGGAAGGCTCACGCATGCATGAAATACTTGATGTTAAGTTATTATTATTATTTTGCCTAACTCATCCTTTTTCAGGCATTCACACAAAAGCTCATCTCCTGCTTGGAGTAGCATTGTTAATCGAGGTATGTTTCTCAAGTACAACACTCAGACAAAGGGTCCAATCCACTTTCCAGTAAAATAAATTTAAATTCACAAGAAGACAAGTGTGAGGCAAGTTGAGCAATGTGTGATGACATTCAACTAAAACCCATAAAAAGGCAGAGTCCCAGTTGAAAAAAGCTGCCCTTGAAGGAATGTGAAAGAAAAAATATGTAAATATTTATCAGATAAACACAACAGAAAAAGAGAGCAAGCAATTGGGAATTCCAAAGGAAGGGTAATTCAAGGCAAATCTATAAGACAAAACAAAAAATTCACTTTTGAAAAGTGCTTTGTATAATAATGCTATAATCACCACAAACCATAGTGCTCCAAATAATATACAATTAGAATATTCCAGGTCAAAATCAAAGAAGTAATAAGAAATAAAATTGATGTGTAGACCCTCAGGATCATTCTCTCAACCACCAAGAGAACAATTTGCCAAAGACTGTAAAAAGACAATTAGAACATTTTAGGCAGGAGAAATCTCCCTTTGAGTTGTTGGTTAGGGTAGTCCTAGAGACTCCCAAAATAACATAGGCTATTGCCACAGTCATTGATTGCCTCCAAGAACTTAAAGGTAAGACTATTGCTGAAGATGGGCCACAATTCAGACACAAGACTTGGAGAAACTGAGCCGAAACAGACCTGAAAGCATCCTCCCTAAAGACTATCTCTCATGTTATCAGAGGATACTATGTAAGCTGCCAAGGGAGAAAACCAATCAATATTCCTACCCAGCTGTAAAGACTAATAACAACTGACCCAGAAAACTATCTCTATTGATGTAATAGTATCACTTTGATCTTGGGGGTAGTCAACAGCTGTCTAAATAGAATTAAGGCCACTCAGTGGAGAGAACTCATGTGTGGTACTGTAAACATAGCATCATGCACATGGCTGGAGACATTATAGTTTGTCGAGAAAAACCTACTTTTGACAAAACACACCTAGACCAATGTAATCCCTTACTGTATTCTAAATATGCATCCTCATATTACAAACAAGCATACTTTTAATCCATTATCAAAGAATCTTCTTTTTGTAACAGATAGAGATTATTACAGAGCTCCAGCACTGGTCAAACACAGAGAATAATTGTCTATGAGATGTTTAACACTAAGTGACACATCTTCAGTGTAACCTCTATAAATAGGATGAATGAATTCCTCAACTCTCACCAGAGAAGTTTCCTTATCTAGCAGATGGTGATCAACACACAAATGCACAAATGGTCAATGTACAGAGAACAAGAGACCACAAGTGCTTATCCATGAATGGGACACCTATTTCAAACCTCTGCCTCCCAAGGTTCAGGATCATTTTGGAAGAGGAGGCAGAAAGATTTTAAGAGCCAGAAGGGTTGCCATTACCACTAGGAAACAGTCTTCCAGACAGCTGGACAGTTACTTATATGAACTTCTAGCAATAGTGACAGCATGCACATGTCCTATGCAAGTTCAAACCAAATGAAATCCCACCATAGACATGGGGACAAGAGGAAGTAGGTAAGAAATCCCAACCTAAGAAAATTTGTCAATTGATGGGTACTAGGAAATAGAAAGACAGTGTCTTAGAGGGTTGGGACTCTTGGCGGGCCCAGCGGATGGACCCACACTGAAGAATGTTTGAGGACACAATTAGACTCTGAGGCCATAGTGTGTGTATGTGTGTGTGTGTGTGTGTGTGTGTGTGTGTGTGTGTCTGTGTCTGTGTGTCTGTGGGGTGGGGGGTAGCTTAATTTGGGCATGGTGTAGTGGAGGGAGGTAAAGATAGGGGAGGGGATCTAAATATCAAGGGGGGGGAGTAGCTTAATTTTGGCATGGTGTAGTGGAGGGAGGTAAAGATAGGGGAGGGGATCTAAATATCATAAGACTTTATTGTATAGAAATCACAAAAATTCAATGAAACAAGAAAAAATAGTAAATAAGATGCTTTGATACTACAATTAATTGGAGTAATGTGCACTTTAAAAAAATCACCCTCCAAATAGATGATAATAGAATTACTATAATCTCAAAAAGGCCTAGAGAAGGGCTGAAAAATAACAATGAAGTGAAGAAAGAAAAACACTAAAATTAGACACGAGTATGAAAATCAGACACAAAATCAATGAAAAGCCAGAAAATACGATATTCCAGTCAGACCTATAAAAATCCAGCTAAATAAATACTTTCTGGAAAAATAATGTATTTAGTTCCTTTCTGTTGCTGTGATAAATATCATGATCAAAAGAAACTTATAGCTGGGGGTGGTGGCACACGCCTTTAATCCCAGCACTTGGGAGGCAGAGGCAGGCAGATCTATGTGAGTTTGAGGCCAGCCTGGTCTACATAGTGAGCTCCATGTCAGCTGGGGCTATAAGGAGACCCTGTCTCAAAAAAAAAAAAAAAAAAAGAAAGAAAGAAAGAAACTTATACAAGAAAAAGCTTAATTTGGCTTATGGTCTCAGAGTTTGTCCATAGTGGTGGGAGAGGTATAGCAGGAGGCACCTGGAACAGGAGCCTGAGAAGTCCAATCTTCAACTTCAAACCCAGTGGAGGTGGAGCAGGGCTCTAAACTCTGTGCCTTCCACAGCAACGTATTGTTCCAGCAAGGCTCCACGTCCTAAAGGTTCCTTAATTTTAATCTTCCCAAATAGCACCACCAACTGAGGAGCAAATGTACCTGTGGGGGATATTTCTCCTTTAAACCACCACAAAGATTACATTACCAAAATTAAAATTTAATTACTTTAAACTACATCCTAAGCCTAGGCAACTTCACTGACTTTTTCTCAGTTTTTAATCTAATGAATAAAATAATCTATAATATTCATGCAAAGTATATGAAAATACAACCATTCTTAAATATTTCAATTTATTTTACAAGCCCTAGTTGTTTGCATGTGTTTGAGCATGTGGTCTGCATGCATGTGTGTGCATGCAAGTTTGTGTAAGTGCTAACATGCATGTGTGCTCATGAGTCTGGGGACCCGAGGTTGATATTGGGACTCTTCCTAGATTATTCTCCATCTTATTTATTGAGACAGGTCCTCTTAGTTGAACCCAAAACTTGCTAGCTCTTGTAGTCTCGGGAATCTTCTATCTCTGCCTTCTGAGGGCTGGGATTACAGATGTGCTACCATGCCCACTGGACATTTACATGGATTCTGGGGATGTGATCTCTAGGCTCATGTTTACTTGCAAGCACTTTAATCACTGAGCCATCTCCCCAGTCTCAGAACTAACATATTTCTGAGAACACAGCCTGCTAAGATAATAAATAAATTAGTAACTGCAAACAGTTTTCATGAATAAAGTATGAAACCAAAGTAAAATTTTAGCAAATAAGACTGAATATTATATTAAAATCATACCATTCATAAACTCCAGGAAGTAATCCAGGAGCTAAACCTGTTCATATAGATAAATCTAGTAAAATAGACCATAATATTCTCACAAAGAGATGATCAATAAAATGAATAGTCAGTTATTGACTTTCTAATTCATAAAAATCCATAAATTCTTTTAATTCTTAGAAAGAGTAATAGAAAAGTTATTTTCCATATTCCAAAATGAACTTTGAAGGAAAAACACTAGAAATATGTTTATTTAAATTGGAGACGGAGAAGGATATTTAAAAGTATCATGACTATAAAAGTATTTGGAGATATTGAGGTCAATGAAGTAAGATTGGGACTAGAAATAAAGGGTATAATTTGAAATAAGTAAGGGAAATTACTGTTTGCTGTGGCAGAGAAC